TGTCTCCAACCTTGACTACTAAGTCTAAAGAACATAATTTCCGACCATATGTAACCCTATTTGCGGTGCACCCACACACTCTTACATTTCACAAGACACCATAAATAGTACTACACCAGATGATAGAGAGATTTACGACCTCCTAGCTTGACATGTAGTGCGTGCTACCAGCAAGTAGAAATCACCAAGGAACTGCAAAGATCACAAGAACGCTCGTTATTAACTGAAAATCATTATCGTGTAATTGTAAATAAACACATCAAATAGTACGAAAAACAGACCTGTTAATTACTGAATAAAGTACAATCCCTTCCATTTATCCTTACTTTCTCCCACCAGTAAACTGGCTGTTATAGTCTAATCCAATCATCCTGGTCCTACGACCACTGGATGACTGAAATTCTAAACAGACTGCTATAGTCATATACCAATCCTGCCTTATACATTGCGAGGAGAATTTGCTTTCATATATTAACCTTATTAAATATAACTTTCAGAAATTATTTAATATAGATCATATTGAATTTAACCACATTCTTTGACTTGACTACATTATTTCGTCTCAAATGCAAATATTATCCTATTTATATATTATATTTATATTATATTATATATATAATGTAATTTATTTATATAAATACAATATATACTTATAAATTTGATCTGTAATGTACAAAATGGACTTGGAATTTAATAGAATTATTCAAAAGTCTGATAGAATATATTTATATATATTTTATGAGTAGTCACCGACTTAATTTTTTCTATAGAGCTTTATATATTTTATTTGTGCGTCTTGGTACGAAGTCAAATATTTAAATAAAATGCAATTGCACTCTCGACTAATACTGGGCTTTGATACATTTTCATAATATATTAAATTTTAAAAAGAATTAGTGAATTATTTAGAATAATAATTAGAGATTAAATGAATTTATTTTCTAATTTCTTATAATTTTATATGAAATTACAAGACCATTTTCGTATGCATTCTTTTATATCAGTCAATTCATGGATATTCACTAATATACCACTCTGCATCCCAGTTTGCATAGCTGCTAGAATAATTTTTACGTTGCGATGACTCCATAAATTAGCTTTATATAGTCCATATATATTATATTCATCTTGCGATTACCGAGCCAGAATTTATTTATTATTATGTATCAACGATGTACTTTATTCCTAATAAAGTAATTGTTTACTTGCGAGAATACCTGTAGAATTCTTTCGGAATTATTAATCAGAAATATTTGGTTAAATGTATATAATAATATGGTAGATATAAATAATTTGCTTATGTAAATATTCGACAGTTTTTTTTTGCAAGTGAAAAGATATTATTCTAAGCCACATTTCCTTGACATTATACGCTAACTATAATAAAAATACATCTACATAAGAATAGGCTATAAAGTGAAAAAAAGAGTTAAAAATTGTGAAACGGTAAGACAGAGATGAAGAGAGCCAGAGTGTAAGAGATGTGTAATCATAAGTTATTACTTGTATATCACAAGTAATATTATATACGAATCACTACAGTTATAATATTAAGAAAGCAATCAAAATAATATTCTGATCCACTCTTTATTTATAAAATATTTTTTGAGTTACCACATTAATTGATAAAAACGTTATTAACCTGAAAATTAATATATATTTTTAAAATTCAATTTCTTATTTTACATTTGATGCATTGACAGAACAGGAAATAACATTAAAAATAAAATACCTTTTCAAAATTTGAATTTATTTTCCACGATATTTTCGATTACAGTCGTGTGGCAATGAGATCTTTTAGATTTAGTTCTGAATTCTTTAAAAAATAAAGTTGTTTTACACAACAAAATAGCTTCATTAAAGAAATTAATTAAATATTAGAATAAAAAATTTCTTGATAATGAAATTTTTCTTTTTATTTTATTTTCTATATACGTATATTTGGACTTTATTGATAACAATAAAAATAATTATTTTACTAAAATATTATACTGTATTGTATAAAATTGTGTTGTGTACTATTTCATCATTTATAAAATGAGTGGGTTTATTATGTATTTTTAAATATTTTGATTTATTAAATTAATATTGTAGAGAAAATAAAATAAATCTTACTAAAACATTTTCCCATGCACGGTATAATTTTAGAATCTGTATTAAAAAACAAAAATTTATTGATATAAACCGTTCGATTAATTAGATTTTCAAAACATACCGTCACTTAATACTATTGATGAGAGAGCAAATAATATGACAAGCTTCAGAAGTTTCATATTTCATATTAAAAGTATTTTTCAAAATTTCAATTGGAATAATTAAATTTTTCGATAAAATGTATAATTTAACTATTGTAAATATATAGTTTTATGTTGAATAAATAGAAAAAACATAAAACGTTACAATCACGATTTTACAATAAATATACATGAAGCCTTTTAATATTTTTGTTATTAAGCTATAGTTATGAACACGATGTACCTGTTACAATTGTAATATTTCTTTAATCTAATCTAAATATTAGTAACGCTGATATAATTTATATATTGTATTAAATTATACAACCTCGCTGTAGGTTAGGTAATTAGGCTAGTATTTTACTGAGATTTTTAAATTACACTATAATGTAGACCAATTTTCCTGCATAAAGTTCTTGCAATGTAAATAATGTAAAAGCTAAGTTATAGAGATTAGAGTGAATTGCCATCTTAAATACAAATGAGCAGATTAGGGAACAAAAGACTGGGACAAAAATTTAATATTATTTCGTTTAAAAAATTATTCTACAAGATATGTTATTAGTATATTGGGTAATTCTATTTAAATTTTAACATTATTCAAATTTTCTTATAACTAGATCACTTTCATATTACGAAAATAATTTAATAGTTATGTGACAATCATGAAAAAATATAACTTTGATAAAGAAACTTTGAAAACTCTGTAAAAAATTTAAAATTTTGAAAGAATTAAATATTATAGTTATTTAAAAAATAAAAGTATTTATTATATTTTAGGATATACAAATTTATTTCCAGATTTTAAATTGTTTTTTTTAACCATGTAAATAATTGTAACATATATGTATATACACATATGCATGTAAATAAATAAAAAATTTTACCACGATTTATAGTAAAAAATGTATTTAGCACGAAACAACAATAAATAATATCAATAAATGGATCTTATTATTGGCATTAATAAATTTTTCATTAATTGTAAAATATTAAATAATAAATAATTTAATCTTTTTTTGAAAATACTAGAATTTATTCACTTTAGTAAAATTTCTATGAAAACCTTTTCATAAAACAGTTTCCACCCATATTTATACATTTTTACATACTTTTTAAACATTTTCTATTTTCTATTTGTAAAGTAATCATTACATCGCAAATAATTATTTATTACATTTATAAAATATTAACTGTTTATAATTTATTATTTGTAGAATCACACTAATCTTAAATTATACATGAATCAATCAAAATGATCGTATAATATAGAATACTGAGTTTTATTTAATCTACATAAAAATTATAGCAAATAATTTATTTTTGGTACCTTAAATTATATAAATGTGAAAATATTTACATCATAAAATTAAAATAAAGAAATTCTCTTAAAACAGATTTTCAAGCTATTACCTCTTACATAATAATTTAATAAATGACAATTATTTATTGCTTTAAACAGATTAAGAATAAAACATCAAAAGCATTAAATTAATATAAATATATATATATTCTTTTTGTATCGAAAATTATTTTGAATATCATAATTAGAAATAGATTTTGGTTGTACAATTTTGATGTAATAATGTAATTATTACCAAAATAATAAATAGCTATTAAAGCTTATTAAAGTAATATGTTTATTGATTCATTAATTTATGTGTATTGGAATTCAATATGTGTTCAAATATGTTTTATTTTCCAGCATTTGCAAATTACTTTTTCAACAGGTTTGAACCAACGACTTTTTGTGAAAAACCTGTTGGATCAACAAATAAAATATTAGTTTCCTCAATAAGCTAATTCTTTTATTTATAATTTTTATTTATAATAAATAATTAATAAATACTAAAAAGTATGGAAAATATATGTATAATTGCTGTGGATTATATATAATTAACACAAACTAAATGTTTTAATAGAGCAATTAAAGGGAATTGGATGTTCAACAGTAATAGTAGTTCAACAGTGTATATCAGTAATTGAAATTTATTCATGAAATTGCTGTTCGTTATTTATAAATACTATACAAAATATCATATAATTCAACGATTACAAGTATTTGTAATTTGTAAGTACAACCATAGGAACATATATGTCTTGATACGATAAGCTTCTGTTGCTATATTACCATATAACAGTAATCTGTAGGAAACATTATGCTAAACTCTTTTTTATATTATCTTTTATTTATCTATTTTCATATTATTTTATATACTTTTTAGTGCAGTATTCGTTATTTGAATATCATGAACAATTATGTTAAAATTTTTATCTATAATTTATAATAACCATATAGTTATATGAATACATTTTGTGAATGATTTAAATATTCTGAATTTCTGAGAAAATTAATCTGCTCTAAGTTATCTACCTATAATATCTTTTATCTGTTTTCCTTTCTTTTTACATCGTTTAATTATTTTTACATTCTTTATACTATCTTCTTTTTTAATTCAATAAACATTATAATATCTACCAGAATAAAAATGATACACAACTGTTTATTAAGAACAGAAATCAAAAAATCGATAACTTAATCGAAATGTAGGTATTCGTTAGTACTTATTTTCTTTTTTAATTTTATTACAAGAAATAATTATGAATACAAATTTCTTAAAACTCTTTAGTATGCATTCAATTACTTTAGTGGTAGAATTGTGAAGACAGTACTTTATTTCTTGTAAGAAAGTAAGGAAAGATAGGATTTAAATTTAAATTAAATGTCTAGAGAACATTATCGACTAAGGAAATGAGTAAATAATAACTAAATATAATTTTTATTGTTTATTTCGAAGAAAATACATTCCATATTTTATCATCGTCCAACTAAAGGAAAATTTGTTTATTAAGTACATTGATTAGAAGAAAGCCATTTTTCTCTATTTAAATTTACTTACTAAGATTATGGCTACATTTATTAAGGCATACGGTCTTCTCATGATCACTGGCTGAAGCTTAGAGCAATAATACAAAATATTACGTGTAAATTTAATAGAAAAATGTTATCAATATATAATTATTGATGAACTATTTTTATATACACTTCTTATTCAAGCTTATTTTTTAAACGATTAATAAAAATAATTTTAAAAAGATAACTTAAAAATTGGTTTTATATTTGTAATAGAAAGTAGTTACGTAAGATATTTTATACATTATAATGCCATAATTTCATTTAGAAATAATGAAGCTATTTAGAATTATAAAATTGTAATATATTAAAGTAAAGTTCAAATTATAAAAGTAACCTGTTTTCTAATATATAAATAAATAATACATATATATTAAATCAATTTTTATATCTATTATAAAATCCGTCACTGTCAAGGATTTATAAAATCTAATTAATATTTCTATGAATTTATTTTACTTATTCAATTAATTTATATACTAATTCATTCGGTTTTTGATAGGATTCTCTTACGTTTTAATCTTCAATTATTTGAATACGAATTATTTAACTTTACACGCTTATCTCTACTTATTTTTAAATTTTTTGTCTCATTAAATAATTGAATTATTATTGCATTAATTATATAAATATTATAACAGTAATTTTTCACCAAATTTTTCCAATAGATAAAAAAAAGTAAAAAGCAATAACCATTTTTAGTTAAATAACCTACAATTATTTAATATTAAATCTAATAATTATTTTCAATATATAAGAATAAATATATTTTCAAATGATGAAATATATAATAATATATTACTTTGACAACCAATAACGCAGGAATTATAATCGGGAATACCTTAAAAAATTAAAGCAAACAATTAATTTGTGTATCATAAAAAAATTAAATATATGCGTACCTTCAGCAGCTAACATAAAAGAAGCAACAAAAAATAATAGAATAATTAATAATTTCATTTTTTTATTTTATTTTACTTCTTTTTAAAGAATTATAATAATAACGGCTAATTAAAATGAATAGCAATGATATTTATCAATCGATTAAACCAAATTAACGAATATTTTTTTATACTGTTCATATATATGCCTTCATCTTGAATAATTAATATTAGTTATAGCTTTGTTATTTTGATATTATTTATTACAAACTATGTCTTTTATTAATATAAATAAAAAAAATTTATGAGCAATATATAAATTTTTATACACATATATAATGTAAACAAAGATAAGCATATAATATTATGATTATCATAAATAATATTCTTTATAATTTATTGAAATAACAAAGTAAATTTCCATTGTTCTTTCAATTTCATTTTTTCAAAATAATTTAAATGATTTTAAACGAAAATTCAAAAAATTCATTATCTCATTTTTTTGTAACATAAATACTAATGATTAAATAACAACATTAAAAAACAAGGTATTTAGCCAAGCGGACAGATAATACTCCCATCATATTATTTTATTAGAATTTATTATGTATTGTCTTCATAAATTAAATATTGTATAATGGTCATCAGTAAACGATGTTTTGTTAATTATCATCTATCAGTGCTCTCATCGTTGTTTCGATGTTGAATTTCTATGTATTTATATGTAAGATAGTACTTTTTCAATTAAGAATTTAGAAATAATTCAGTATTTTCGTATTTAACAGAACTTATCTGTTTTTCAGTAAGATTTTATTACGACAGAGAAGATATAAAATAATTGTCATCTCAGTATATTTTTTCAAGTTATTAGTGTTTAATGTACAACGTATGCTGAATGCACATAATATAAAAAGTTTCTAACACTATTATTCTATAAATACATTAGTTAACATATTGAAAAGGACGGCTAATGATAATTGTTTTAAGGGATCATAATAAAAGTATACAATAATTACTTTAGCAATCTGAATATTTTCGTGCCTATAAATTTCTGTATTATATGAGTGATAATTGTATCTAGCAACGTGATTAATTATTTCGTTAATTGGCTAAAATTATTACATTTACACGAAGAAAAATTTTAAAATAGTTTAAAAAAAAACGAGAAGCAAATAGAATTTTCATTACTTTATTTCTTAATTATTAGAAGGAACATTTACATTGTTTATCTTGTGTAGAATATTTTTGTATCCTAATTTATGTAAATCGATAGTCGTTTCCATTGAAAAGTACTTTCAATTACTTCGATTATGATTAATGACCTGTAAATAAGACGTAACACATGTAAGAATTATTGGACGATTTCATTTTAATGAATCATATTTCTTATTTATAATGTTACGTACCTTTACCCAATCTAAGACGGCAGTCCAATTCGCATCCCTTCCGTTTGTATTTATCTGGTGCAACTGTAAATAATAAATAGGTAGAATAATACGAAGTTTACATTGTATATGAAGTTACATTTTATCAATCGCATCCAAAAAGTTGTAGCAATTGCGAAAATTGTGAAACACTCCATATTTATTTATGTTCGCGAAAATTAAAAATATTAAGTTCATATTTACTGCAATGCCGATGGCTTATGATAGATTATGAATTTTTATTTGCAACTAAATATGTTTATTACATTCGATATAATTTATGTTAAAATTGATTTTTCATTAATGAAATTATTTAATCAAGAAGCAATAAAATACTAGATAAATATATTTCTTGTGTTGAAAGTCATTGGTTTCAATCACCTTGAAAAATGTATTTTTACGTCGAATTTTCTAATAGTAATAACAATAACAATAATAATAATAATAATAATAATAATAATAATAATAATAATAAATGATATTTAATGATATTAATCAAAGCAATTAAAATATTATATTGAACAATAAATTCATAATTATATAATTAAGGATAATAAAAAGTAACGATTAAATATATAACTTACGAGCGCATCTTTTCAAGCATTCCTCCAGAGTTTCTTTAAATTCGGGATAAATAGATACAATTAGAATATAATTATTATTTGAACACAAATTGATTTATGTAGTTGTACATACCTTCTGCCATTAATATAGAAATGAGAGAAAATAATATTGTGAATAGTAAATATTTCATTTTGACTTTTGAATCTAGAAAAAGGAAATATAAAATTTTGTTAAAAATATTCAATAACGTTTTTTACATAATTAATTAAAATTTCTAATAATAATACTTACAGTTTCTCCTTGCAATGAAACTATAAATTACACTTTGGATGCGTCAGACAAATGGCTATTCACTCTATGATAATTGATGCTTTGAATTTCCTTTATATTACTTTACTTGTCTTTGGTACTCTATATTATCTTATCGTTCATCATACGGGTATAAATATAATTAGTAAGTTTTCCATAAAATTTGAAAAACATGAATCAGTAAACGGCGTTTGTATTCCTGGAAAAAAAATTATCACTTACCAAGTAGGATTATGCATAGTTTATTATGATGTTAAGAAAGTCAAAAGTAAATAAGAAATTTTAGATCGATTTCAATTCTAGGAAACATTCGCTCACGAGTTCTAGAATTAACAAAGTCTTATGGATAATCTCTTGAAGAAATATATAAAATATAATAATGGATAGAATGAATGTGCTAATAATTGCTTTACAAGATTGCTGTATAAAATTTTTACCACAAGTGGAATTATTCAGCTGGAACTATTTTACAAATTTTTTTAACAAGATGATCCTTTAAACTATATAGTTGGGAGTGAAGGTCGAGATAAGTCAGAACGCGCATTTTATTTTTAGAATTTAACGCACTATGCATACATATGCGTAATAAAATAATTTTGAACCTGTTAACCAAACGTCGGTCGAATGTATATGCACACAATGTACATCTTACATCGACTAATCTGATATAAACATATATTGATTTTGAAAAGACCATTGTTATTATGCTTTTATTCAACGATTTACACTATTATTTACTATGGTCCTTTTACTGTCTTCATGTATTTTTATCAGAAAGAGAAACTGAATTTAAGCAAAAATTGAAATAATATAAATTGAAAAAAATTGAAGATACACTTTTCATAAAAAGAAAGCTTAGCTTCAATCAATTTATTGGCATACACATACACAAATATATAAGGAACATAATATTTATATTTACAACTTTAAGATTTTAGTATTAAAAAATTTTATTAAATGGATTCGATATATATAAATACATATTCCAATATGCTTTTCTACAAAGCTCCTCTTTATTATATAATTAGATGTGTCAATTTAAAATATGCATGCTTGGAATAGATGACAAACATATTCATTTAAAGTATTAATATTTTTGGTGAGAAGTCAAGTAATACTTCAATATTGTATACTGCTTTTTTGTAATTTTATTAACCTGAGAATATAAAAACGTTTTTATTATTTAAAATTAGTATGTTAGTCGATTAATGTAGATATTCATTGAATAATATAATTGTTTTCATCAAATTCCACTTACCAGCACAATTATTTAAACACTCAGCTTTCTTACTCGGATTTAATTCACCTATACAAAATAATTTATAAGACTTGAGAATAAAGTATATGCTATACTAAGTTAATATTGCAATTACTAGCAGACATATATTTATCACATTATGTCTCTGCTCTAATTAAACAATATTAATGTAAAATGTACAAGGTGCTTTATAAAATTTAAAAATAAGTTAAAATAGCTTTATAAATTTGTATTTCAATTGCTAAGTATTTTAGAAAGGAATTAAAATGATATAGATGTAAATATAACATATACATAAAAATATTGCAATTTATAAATATTTATATCGATAAATTTACCGATTTTATGTACGTGCTATCGTATGTAATCTTTAATGGTGAAACAATATTTTTCAAAGAAAACAAAAAAATACATATATCATTTATACAAATGTCTATCCCATACAGTTAATAAACATGGAAATCCATTTTGATGTAATTCAAGAGAGTAAATGAATGTTCATAACTTACCTGCACATTTAGTTAAACATTCCTTCAATGAAGCACCTGTTAGGAAATAATAGAAACCAGAATACAATATTGAAAATTTTTAATTATACAAAAATGAATTCATATATTTATATGATATATATATTAGACGTATGTGTATATGCGCACACTTGCGTAATTATATATAAATTTTTATTTTTTATGATAAATTGTTTAATATATATGTAATGATATGTTTCTACATATACCTTTGACCAAAACGATATGTGAAATGACAGCAAATAATGTAAATAATATGACTTTCATTTTCACAGTAAAAATTGGGAGGAAACTAAAAAGATATCAAATAATAAATCATTTGATTCATTTTATAAATATTTCAATCATTTAATTTTTTTTGTAAAATTTACATTAAAAATACAAAAATTATAGCTTACACGAATTATCATGAAATTAAGAACAACAAATTAAATATATGTATGCGTTATATTACGTATATTACGTACGTATGCGTTCTATTTTTTAATGGTAATGTTATTCAAAACTTAAAATTATAATGTACAAATTTTGTTTTGTATAAACCCCTTATTTTACACAATTCAAAATAATTTCTAAGTTTATATAGAATATTTTAATTTATAATAAAACTTCAATTTATTATCATTGTTTTATAGCTGCCGAATAATAATAAATGATTAAATTAAATTGAAGTTTAAAAATAACTGAAAATATTTTCCATTCGAACGCTATATCATATATTTAATTATCAAATAATAGGAAATAAAATAAAATTGATAAAAATATATTAGTTTTATTATGTTCATATTGTGGCATATTTTTCAATATTCATAAAATTGAAAATTTATATTTAAAAATTTCAAATATAATTTTTTATTTAAAATATATTCTTTGCCGATTGATAGTTTTGAGAATAAATAATTAAATAATCTAAACTCAATTTTAGCATGAAAGTAGACCTGGAATGAATATTAAATAAAAAGTTAATAAATATTAAGATCAGAGCTGTTTAATTATGTAATATGTATGTAATTATGTAAATTATTATAGCTAAATAATGTACATATAGTATACATGTAGGGCAAATCAAGGGAACATTAGTAAAAGTTCAAGGTAAATAAATGCATGTGTATATAAAAAATGGAGTACAACCGCTGTTTCATTAAGAATGAGAATATTAAATTAAATTGTTCTTACTATTTTAGAAAAACACAATATTTACTTAAATTTATTTATGTCAATGCTTTTTTTCTAATACGGTTTGTTATTTTTATATATATTCATTATTGATCCATTCTACAATAAACAAAAAAATTTATGGTATATGCCTACATAATAGATAAATAAATTGAACACTATTTCAGTTATTTTATATTTCTGTATCTTATTAAGGAAATTTTAGGAATAGTTGGTCATTATCATATAATGGAAAATTAATGATAATCAATAGATGGAATGAAGAAAATCTAATGCTGTTGGTATGCTACAGCATTATTAAAAAGATTGAAATTGGGCATATTCAATAAATTAAAGCAAAATATAAAAGAAAATCGAACGCTCGACAAAAGATGTGCTAAGTAATCGCCTCCCAGGAAAGTCAAACACATTTTGGCGCCTACAATAAATAAATTATCTTTAGGAGCTTCGGAACCAAATTGATCCTTTCTGTGTGGCAGAAACTTGCAAACGCCAGAAATGATTAGCATTTTATACAATGATAATAGTCCAAGCATATTATTTTATCATAATTTATTAAATAATGTCTTCATAAATTGAATATTGCATAAAGTACGTCAGTAAATGATATTTTCTCAAAATCTATCAGTGTTTGTCATCGTTGTTTCGATGTTGAATTTCTATGTATTTCTATATACAAAAGTACTTTTCCAATTAAGAATTTAGAAATAATTCTGTATTTTCGTATTTAACAGAACTTATCTGTTTTTCAGTAAGATTTTATCACGACAGAGAAGATATAAAATAATTGTCATCTCAGTACATTTTTTTGACTTGTTAGTGTTTAATGCACAACGTATGATCAATGCACATAATATAAAAAGTTCTTAATACTATTATTGTATAAGTACGTTGGTATAGATATTGAAAAGGACGGTTAATGATAATTGTTTTAAGGTATTATAATAATAGTATACAATGACTTTAGCAATCTGAATGATTTGCTGCCTATAAATTTCTGTATTAGATGAGTGATAATTGTATTCAGTAACGTGATTAATTATTTCATTAATTGGCTGAAAGTTTTACAATTCAATAAAAAAATGTTAACATTTGAGTTAAATATTTGAAATAAAATATAAATCAGAAGTCGAATATAATATCTTGTTTCTTTATTTCCTAATTATTACTAGATACATTAAGAAAAAGAAAAATTTTTATCTTGCGTCATATATCTCTTATATACATATATCTATTAGGTAATAATTTCCCTTGAAAAGTGCTTTGAGTATTATTGCTTATCTGCAAATGACAAAATATGTGAGCATTAGTTAATCTTATTATATTATAAACAATCTTATTTCGTATTTACATTTATACTCACCCTCCCAATCTATCATGGCAATCCCATTCGCATCCCTCCCGTTTGTATTTATCAGGAGCAACTGGAAATAATGATTTATTATTATTTTAAATTATCTTAAAACCATCTTATTAGAGAGATTAAAAATATTTTTTTGCAACTATTTTTAAATTACTTTATATTTTTCTTTGTCATCAGAGGCCGAAATATGGTAATTTATAATAATTACTACGTTTTTCATGTACTATGATATATTAACCATTAACATATACTTTTTTATAATTATTTAATTGTTTTTATCTATTAATTGAATAAATGATTAAAAATCTTATATTTCGATTCGAATTAATATAAGATATTGTAGCTATGGAAACTAACAATAATTTTACATCAATAATTACTAAGTAATCTGTGTTTAAAACAAAATTAAGAATTCATTTGACTAGTAGTGAAATTAGTATCTTTTAAATATTTGTGTAAGAATTTAAAACAATAATTAAGAATTAATGTGACTAGTGGTAAAATCAGCATCTTTTAAATATTTATTGTAAATTTTATTTTTTAGATGAAACTAAATTCTAATTGTTATATAGCTACTAATATTGTTTTAATCCTTACTCAAATCATTTTTTATCTTAAATAAGTTGTATTTAATGTTAGATTGTATTTATTAAGAGTATATATTGCATTTAAAAAGAGTTGGAAATTTTTAAATTTTTAAATTACGTTGTACTTACGAGAGCATCTTTTCAAGCATTCGTCCAGAGTTTCTTTAAATTCGGGATAAATAGACACAATTAGAATATAATTATTATTTGAACACAAATTAATTTATATAGTTGTACATACCTTCTGCCATTAATATAGAAATGAGAGAAAATAATATTGTGAATAGTAAATATTTCATTTTAACTTTTGAATCTAGAAAAAGGAAATATAAAATTTTCCATAAAATTTCCATAACATTTTTGAAATAATTAATTTATAATTGCTAATAACACTTACAGTATGCCTTGGAATTAAACTATAATTTTTGAAGTTAATTTTCTTCAATGTCTTATATTTTGGATGTGTCGGATGAATGGCTATTCACTCTATGATAATTAATTCTTCGTATTTCTTATTTATTACATTCTACTTCTTTTTCGCCGAACATTATCTTATCAAACGTGATAAGCATGTAAATATAAATAATAGGTATTTCTGCAAATCTAAATAATATAAAATAGTAAATATTATTTATCTGTCAATAATCGTCATCCTTGAATTTGGGTATTTTTCTTGTAAATAAAATAAAATTACATTTTTGAATATCAGAATAGTACATTAATCGTTCTATTTTTAAACTTATAAAATAAAAGAAAATGTATATTCATGTATTGATTATTATTCATATAAATATTTGCTTATAATTATTATGAAAAACACATAGTTCCAAGGTCTTTTAAATATATTTTTATAGAATATGATTTTGATAGATTCCAAATTTTACAAGAAATATTACAAGAAGTTATATTATTTGACACATTTTTGTTGTTATAACAGAAAGTTAATTAATACTTAATGTTTCATATTTAAGAAATGGGATTTATTACAATAATTTTAAAAATAATTAAAATAATAATAATACTATATTTTCAATTACAATAAGCAAATAAGCGACAGCAATGGGTGTTTATCGTTTCTTTATATTTAATATAAAATCAAATACCAACTAAATAATCAAACTATTAAGTAATAATAGTGTAATACATAGTATTATTAACAATACTCCATATGATATATTTATCATGTAAAATAACAGAAATAAAATAATATGAAAATAAAAATAGGTTAAACATGATTACATATATGTTACAAATAATTATAATTTTGAAAAATTCAAATCATTATATATTTAGACTGTATGTTTTAGATAAATAGTTATAAATAATGTTATTTAAAATTTAATCATCATCTTACCGTACAAAGAAAATTAATAATCTTCTTTTTTACACATACTTTTTAATATATTAAAATAAAATAAATTATACTCAAACTATGGATAAATTCTTGTAAAATTTATATTCTATTCATTTAGATAAGTGTTGAATTTTAAATCAAAATCTGAATTCTTATTAAAATCTACATAAATTATAATATTCAAAGAAACGTACAAGTGCTTAAAAATAATATAATATGAAATTTAATCATTGATAATATTACTATTATGGAAGATTTTATAAATGTATAGTATATATTATTTAAAAAAATTTTATATATATAATTCTGTATGCAATAAAAGCAATAATAACCACTTATAAACAAAATTAAAAAATTTTTGCTGTAATTTTTATAATTTAGATTTGAGTTTATATTATAAAACTTTAAATAATTTTAGGTTCTTCATGGATTATGAACATATATATCAACATATATATAGAGCGCAATTAAGGGGATAGTTTTAATTATTATTTTATAAATTGTTCAATCTAACAAAATATATTTTTTCTATTTCTTTTGCGATGTATCATCATATGTTTAAGTTATCGGTGTTTAAATCTCATATAAATATCATCAGTGTTTAAAATTATTTGACATAATAATATTGGAACTAATTAATTTGTACAAAGTTCGATTTGGTACTAATGTTGGAAATAACTAATTTAATGACAATCAATATCATGGACTACTAAAGCATACATACGCTTATATAAATAAGTCGTTCTCATTACATGTAAGATTAATTATAATTCGAAATTCGTGTATTATTTGCATTAATGATCATACTTCGTTGACTACAAATTATTACAGGTTAATGTTTAAGGTTTGTTTCATTGCTTTGATAGCAAATTTCTGCTTGGAAGCTTATTTTTGTTATATAATCTGCTTAGTCTTGTTACTAAATATTCGAATTTCAATTCATCTACTTCTATATTATTACATTACTGAATATCTAATGAAATTGAAAATCAATTTAAACATTTCTGATGGTAATCATACAACAAATTATTATATATTTGAATAATTTGATTATAAATTATAAGTTTTATTATTATCCTTTGTTAATAATAATTATAAAATTTCCGACTTAAATTTACTGATAATAATGAGTGATTTTCATTATTCATTATTAATAAATATGGTATTCTTTAAAAGTATATAAAAGTCATTTGTAGTGTTTCAGTCATTTCGTTCAATTCAATTCGTTCAGTTGAATTCCTAAATATGATTTCTCCCAAATTACCTTAGACCTTCGTTAGTTAAATTGTGTATTCACATAATGTTTCTTCAATAATCTTCATTCAATATAAATATATTATATTTACATGTGATATAAACATTTATATTCCACTTAAAATGAATGAATTCTAATTGTTACAAAAAGATATAATTTTCGGCATCTATTTTAATATAGAAATACATATCCATACACATATATTTTGAAATTATATTTTTTTGTTTTGGTAATTCTATTGCCTAGTTATTATGTCAGCTAAGACTTTATATTAAAATATGAAAAATGTTAATTTCTTATATTTAAATATTATTTATATATGTGAGAATGGAAATGAAATATGATAGAACTGTGAAGGTATAAAAATGATGGGAGTTAATAATTCTTGGAGCATTCTGTAAAAAACTTAATTTCTTGCTCAATTCATTTTATCTCTTTCTTATAACTGTTTTCTGTACAGTGAATATTTCTCAATAAGATTCTGGAACTTCAATGTCTTAAAAAATTACTCGTTGATGTTGAAGTCTTCTCCAAGTCATTATCATATGAAATAATCGATCCATTCTTCTAATGCTAAAATGAATATTAGTATGAGCTAATTTATTTTTTGTTATTTTTTTAAACTACATAGTACATTAAAAGTAAATATTAATGATTGTATGCAGATTATTAATTATGTTTATTTATGTCTGTATAATTATATTACGTCTTCAATTTATTTATATTATATTTATCAGAAGAACGTTACATATAAATAATGAAATTCATTTTTATGTGTATATATGTATATATATATATATATATTGATTATTATGAAAGATAATCTAAGTTTGACAAATTTTCTTACATATTAATTATTACAACTATAAATTATTAGGTATTAATTACAAATCGAATATTTGCAGGTAATTAAGGCAAAATTTATATCCATAGTTTTAATAAGAGCCTAATAATCTTCGTATATTTTGCGCAACACACAATTACTTCATTAAAACTGTAAATCACGCCTCTGGCTTTACGTTCTTAAGAAGATTCGAAGGGTCCACAGGCTTGATCACTACGTGAAACTTTGATCGTCTCTGTAATAAGGAGTAACAGAAAGGCAGATGTAGATATGTAGGTGAGAGGTTATATAGAGAGCAAGAGAGAAAGGGATAAGCTACTGAAATTTAGCAAAGTTGATTAACGCGTTAATGAGATGCCGAGCAGTTATTAGCATTAGAACTTTACAGTTCCAACCTGACACGCTCAATGTTTCACTAAAGTAAATATAAAACAACTGTTTCCTTGCTATAGAATATTATATTAACGATTTCATATGAATATAAAAAAAAGGTACAAAATAAATATTGTTTGAAAATGTCAATTTGAAAATGAAAGTAATCACAAAAAGTAAGCGAAATTAAAATTACTAATGACTATTTGCTGTATAGATATATAAGAACTTAAAAATTCAAGTGTTTAATTTGTGTGGAATTGTGATATATATAACATATATTAAATTTTATTCAAAATAAATTCCTTGATGATAAAATGTGTTTGAATATCAATTTTATTATTACTCTGACTTCTTACTAAGAAGAGCAACATTACCTTTAATTATTCATGTCGAGTAATTAAAGATTTTCGATGCCATTAAATTGAAATTATTCTCTTAATACTTTTTGAATCATTTATTATATGTTAATTCATCTATAATATCCTTAATATACGCGATCAAATTTAAATTCACATGCATTGTTGTCAGATATGACAAACTATAATATATTAAAAATACTGCTACTTATTTTGTTATTATTTTTAATACTTCATAAAATCGTAAGCGTATACGAAAAAAAACATAGTTTTCTTAAAACCTGTTATAGGAAATTAATGAAATAATATATTTCATTACTTGATTTATTGATTAATTAACTCATTTATTGATTAGCCTAAAATTCGAAAGCTTATTACCATTACTTTTCATCCCATTTTATATAATCACCTGTATCAATTTTTTAATTATGTACAACTGTACTTCTAGAAGTAATTGAAACCAAGCATAGGAATCCTTATTAACGAAATTTATTCTGTAAATATTATTTCCTATACCGATATTATTCCTATACCTTCCTTCTAAAAGCCTACTATATTTGTCTGTTAAACATCTTTTTACAATTAAAATTAACAGTTGCTTACGTATAACAAAAATATGTGCAAATACTTATAAAATTAATAACATAAATTAATTATTAATAATAAACACAATAGCTACAAATATAACAAGTATAAACATTTGTAAACGAAAGAAATTCATATTATTTAAATGTGCTGTAAATAATTATATCATTTTTTCTAAATTAGAATAAGTTAATTTTATTACCAGATATAATTATATAGTCTAACGAAATTTTTTCTATTTCTGTTATAGGTAAGTGTTTCAAACTACTTAAAATATACATAGAAGCGCCTACGATTATGCTCCGATATCCTGAAACGTACGATATACAATTTGTTTAATGTTTCATATTATTTCAATTATTTCATTTCGATTCGATTATTTCAATATATCAAACTAGATTCATTCAATATAACCGCTTCATAATTGCATATGTAGTATACATTACTGTGTACAGAGGCACAATTATGTAAAGTGTGAAACCAATAAATAAGAAAGAAATAGTATAAAAT